CTCTGTCCTTGTTGTTAGTTGCTATTGAAGATGAAGCGGACATGTTCACCTCTTGTCTCTTTGGATTGTTCATTGCACCATGTTAGGAGTGATTGGCACCTTTTCTATTTCTATTTATCTTGTTAGAGATTGTTTGTCCTTCAAGTCTATTTATTCTACTGCTTAGTTTTTCAAGGTTGACTAATATGAGCTGCCGAGAGTCTTGATTGCCTTTTGCCTTTGATCTGATATCCTCACTGCGGATATTCTGCTGGTAAGTCCTTTGTCTTCTTATTGGCTCTCTATTACTACCTGTAGTAGGATATCTAGTTGTTCTATAATTCTCCTACCTTACTCTATTATTATTCCTTTGTTTTGTTTGTCATTAGTTTCTGGAGTGTGTAAATTTTATAGTGTAGAGATGACTATAAGAGGAGGAAGAAAAGGATCTTGTGGACTTATAGCCTGATGGTGAATTTGAAGTTAAGTCATTATTTATATTGATTTTTTGGGATCTTTGATAACGTGATTTCCTTTCTTCACTTATAGGGCTAGTATTTTCTCTATTGCTGAGATTCTTTACACTCCAGGATAGTTTTAAACCTTGTAAGAAAATATATTGTTTGCATGCCTTGTCCCTATTCTCTCTTGTCGTGAAACAAACAATTGTAAAGTTCTGTTTATTTAATATGTAAGGGTTTTTGGGAGTATAGCATGCTTTTGCCTGGGTACTATGTAAAGCTCTTGCTATTAAGCTAGTATATGTTTTGTTTGTATCCAACAGTCTGACTAAGTTGATATTTCTCTCGATTAGGGTGGTATTTATCTCTTTATCAGTCAACTCTGATTTAGTAAAGATGGCTTTGGATGTTTTAGTACCTATAGATGTTGTCCATGCTTCTGCGAGATCCATTTAATATGTTTATGAAGCTTGAAATAGGCCTTGGCCCTAGTCTTCATCTTGATCTTATAAATATGGATGTTTTGAACTGTTCTATATCTTTTAATATGTTTGGCTATATAACTTCTAGAAACCTTCTGATCTAAATCTATTAGGCTGATATGCCATATATCAGATCTATTTTCCCTTTTGAATTCCTGAAAAATTTTTTTGTTTTTCTCTCTTTTGATCATATGGATAGAATGTAGAGTGTGAGGAGTTATTTGTTGTATAGTGAAATTATTCTCTTTGCGGTTTATCTCTTTAATACATTTTAGGATATTCTCTTCTTCTTGTACCCAAAAGGTCAACCATTCATTTCCATTGATAAATTCTTTCTTTAAGAGGTGTCTTTCTCTCTGTGGTAGTTTCAAGGTATTGCTTAGGTAGGCCTTGACTTCTTCTTTTGTTTCCCTTGAAATATTGGCCATCATGGTATTGAGTCTATATATTCCTTCTTTTCCTATAAAATATAGGTTTGTTGATGGGCGAAGTCCCTATTTCTCGTGTCATATGAGCTATTATTACTGATGTTGTTGCCTTTTATTTTTTTCTTGAAGCCTTTGTATTTCGGCCTCTTCTTGTTTATGATCACTGGTTATTGTGATTTTATTATCTATCATTGACTCAGTATCTACATGTTCTGTGATCTCCATCAGTTGACTTTTCGGCTCCTGTGGATTACTTGCATTCTTAATAATTTCTATGAATTTATCTTCTATATAAGGCTATAGAAGATCTTCTTCTTTTCCCTTTCCTTATTATCAAAGATATAGGATATATCGAGTAAGGATCTGTTCTTTATGGAATGTTGTTTTGTCTATTCCTAGGATGTTAGCAATAATACTATCTAGAATAGTAAAAGTCTCTGGAGCAGGAGTTATTTTTTCTTTTGAGTCTCCTTCTTTTTGCCTTACCAATTGTTGGAATGCCCATAGTTCTTAGGTTTCGTCGTATTTTCTTAAAAGCTTAATTAAGGTATTCAAGATATCCTTCTCCCTTTTGTTTATTATATGAAGAATGTGTTGTGCCCTATTCATATTGGCTGTGTCATGTGATTATTGAATGAGTCACATTTCACAAATTAACTCTGTTTATTTGTTTACTTATTCAGATAGTATTACCGGGGTTTTCTAATCTATTTGTTGTATTAGTAGATCAATTGTCAGATAAACACGAGTTGCAGGTTGTTTATTTGTTTATTTGTTGATTTTAGTAACATGTGTGCTAGTTTTATTAAAGAGTAAACTGGATATGAGAAATGTGTTTTGTGATTAGCTAGAACATGTGTTGAGCTTGTTTATCTGTTTAGAGACACATCACATAATCTATTGTTATGTCTCTAATGTCTAAAGAAATATGTTTATGTTTACATTACGTGCTAGTTGTTTATGTGTTGCTGATATATTGTTATTGATAATCTCTAACTATTGCTCTTGGGTTCCTAACGTTCTCTTGAGTCTTGCAAATTTTGAATTTTGTCTGGTTTACTGGTTGAGATTAATATATTGTCAGGTTCCTTCTAATATTTAGAAAGGTGTAAATCTGCACTGGTCTGGTTGAAAGCTAGGAGAGTTGATATTGGGTCCCTTGACCTTACTGTGATTCAAATTTACTTTTGTTTTCCCTTTCTCTCAAAAGTTGATGGATAAAGTACTAATGTTATTATTATGTACTCTTCTCCTGATGGCTTGTTTATAGAACTTTATGTGTTGCTCCAAGTGGGATGATGTAGTTGTGTTTCTATTTACTGTGTTTGCTGAGCTTGGATTGTGTTATCTTTTTTTCTCTAAACAATTACCAAAAAAGGAAATTTTTAGAAAAATAGTGGATCAGCAGAAAGAGTTTTTTTCACAATTATTAAGAATATTATTATAATATAAATAATATATTGTATATACTGTATTTATTTATTTACAATATTTTGAGTCAAACTAGATTATAATTTATTAATCAAATGAAAATATAAGTATATTTTTATTTAAATATTATAATATATTATATATTATAATTAAATATTTCTTTTTTTTATTTAAACCGTAACTGGTATTAGATGCGAGTACTTTTATTAAGAATTAACTTAACATCTTGGATAATGAAATCCTGGACATCACATCAATCATCTCATACAAATTATATATTTCTATATACATGCAGATTAATGATAACCTATCGCAGTTATCTCTAGGTGGACCCACTAACCACTCTGTGAGTGGGGCAGACATAGCTAAAGGCCAGATGGTCAAATACACAGTTATCGACGGCGAAACAAACTAGTCTAGCAGTGAGCTTTTATAAATTTTTGTATTATATTCGCTAAACTAGGCTATATAGTGTGTACCCAATAGGATTTAATTTTACCCTCCAATACTCCCAAAGATATTATTTACTCAGACCTCGGAAGGGGGCACTTTACCTTCTTTGTCACCACCTGTGGCATCAGATCAGTTGCTTGACTGATTTTTCATTTAAGCGGAGCACCATATTGGGATATCCTGAGCTAGAAGGGTGGGGTCCTGGAGATTGCCAGGGCAGGGGGTCTGTGGGATGTTTATGGTAGGTTAGACCAGAAGCCTTTCTTCATGCAATCCTTTTGGTAATACGATCATAGATCTCAGCCCCTGATCGACAGGAGGTCAGAAGTCCTATCTTCATGCAGCCTAACCTGATTGAAGCTTGTTCCGAATGATTGGGTATGACTTTCACAGGATAACTGGTAAACCTGATTAGAAGGATAATCTTTGATTTTGGTCCTTAAGTGATATTGAACTATGGATCTTGTGATTGCGACCTGGGAGCACTATTACTGTGCTATTGACCCACAGGTCTTATAATTAAATATTTCTATCAAATCCAATTATAATATAAATATATTAATTCAATTATTGAACAAATATAATTAATAAAAAAAGTTTTTTTAAATAATTTATATTATTTACAATATAATCTTTATCTAAGAAACTAATTTTAATTTTACTTTAAAACTAATCAAATCTAAAAATAAAAAAGAGAAGATAATCTTCTAATTTCTTTCTTAAAAAACAAATATCTTGATATAATGAAATAAAAGAAGCAAATGTAACATATCTTTAATATAATATCAATAGAATAGTTAATAACAAAGAGTAATTTTTCTATTAGAGAATTATCTAATAAGGCAATTACTAATCAATTCTAACAATAAAGATCCTTAACCATTATAATATATTTTTATTAAGACTTTAAAAAATATTATATAGACTTCTACATAATAGCTAACTTTTTGTTATATATTATTGGTTAAAAATATATGAAGTCTACTAAGTTGGTTTGGAATAAACAAATATTTCATTTTCCTAATAGATTTGATACTGAATCTCTATTTATTAAAAATTATTGCCAACAGTTTTTCATTATAGATTATACATAAAGTTTATTTACGTTTACGGGGATCAATTTTATAGCTTGGAATCACTTGAATCCATTTAGAAGATAAAAACATTTATACAGATGGGAACCAAAAGTCCGTGAACATTTAATTTATTTTTATTTAATAAATAGTGTTCACGGACTTTTGGACACCACCTTTAGAAGGATCTATTTAGGATGTTTGATTTTATATCCAGGTTTTAAATTAAACCGAGAGAAATCGGTTTTAAATTCAAGGTTCCCCTATGCATACAAGTAAGTTTTCGAAACAAGTGTGTCGAAATTAAGCACGTAAATCGCCAAAATCGGCTAAACCATGATCCGATTCAGCCGAATTTTCGGACCGATTGCAGATAATACAATTAATAAGCAAGTCGTAATTACAGATTACGTATGCGCGTATTCACTATAAAGTGACAGTTTCAGTCGAATACATATATTTAATAATTTCAGATTCAATTTTCACCACTCTAATAAAAGGTCAAAATTAACCTTAATAGAACGTATTCTATTTCTTTACTACGTATCATGGCCACAGCGACCACCAATTCGGCTTCATTTTTTAATGACAAATCGCTTGGACAAGTTTTAATACCACCAGCACCGTTAGTAACATTTTTTAAACATTCGTTTATTTTTTTCGAATTTTTATTAATTGTGATCCGTTCATTAGATCTCCGTATGGTCGCTTTGCTTCTCTTCGACATTGGTATTCACGGTCCGAACAAACTTCTGAGGCGGCGGAGGCCCGTCTTTTAAGTCGTCTCCAATTTTTTTCAGTCGGAGGAAAGACGATCGCCACTCCCGGAGAATCAAAGACAGTTGCCCGAGTTGGATTGGTTGATCTGGATGGGGATGGCGTTAGAAAAATTAATACTTTGGTCATTGATCAAGTCGGCAATGACTTTGATGTTACTGATCACAAAATGACCAGATCAGAATATATTACTAATAATAAGCTTGGGTTTAACCCTGAGTCGCAAACTAAAGTTTCTGTCCAATCGGGCACAACAACTACCGTCGATATTCCACCGAAGAAACATAATCTAGTAATGTGTCATGGTTTTGGCGCCGGCCTTGGTTTTTTCTATCGGAATTATCATAGCCTTAGTCAAGTTCCTGGTTGGAGAATATACAGTTTAGATTGGCTAGGGATGGGAAGATCGTCGAGAGTAAAATTTACTGTAAAAGGTCGTACTATTGATGAATCAGTTGAAGAAACAGAAAACTTTTTTGTGGCAAGTATTTGAATATGTTTGTTTGTTTTTTTTTTGTTTTTTTTTTAAACATAGTGATTTCACGTATTATCTATCTTTTAACGAATAACCAGGATTCACTCGAGAAATGGAGGCAGGTACAGAAAATCGAGAAAATGACATTACTTGGTCATTCTCTTGGAGGTTATTTCGCTGCCGTATACGCTTTAAAGTATCCTCAATATGTGGAGCGTTTAATTTTGGTGTCTCCTGCTGGAATTCCGCCTAATCCCTATGAAAATAATAAAGATTTGAAAAATAGCACTGGCCGTACAATACCTCGATGGGTGATAAAACTATGGGAGGCTAACTTTACACCACAATTAATTATGAGATTGACGGGGCCTTTTGGTCCATCATTAGTCTCTCAATATACGTCCCGTCGATTTGCTCATCTCGACGAGCAAGATCGGATTGACTTGCATGATTATCTTTATCATATTTCTGCTGCACCTGGCAGTGGGGAATATGCTATGTCGAGAATTCTTGCACCAGGAGCCTATGCGCGAAAGCCGCTGATGAACCGATTAGAAAATTTGAAGATGCCAACCGTTTTTATGTGTAAATATTATTTAATACCTTATAATGTTTTGAGGATTTAGATATAATTTTAATCAATGGTTTATTCTTGTACATAGATGGAGAAGAAGATTGGATGGATTATCGTGCCGCTGAGGAAGCTCGTACAAAGATGCATGTTCCAACGGAAGTAATTCGAATCCCTAATGCCGGTCATCATCTATATCTTGACAATCCTGTTGAATTCGATAAAGCAGTAATATCCATTATGTTAGAGGTTGAGAATTGATCATGTTTCTTGTCAATGACATTCATTTTTAGACAATTTACTATGTATATTATAATTATTTATTTGCATCAAATGATTTAAAAATCTAATAACTTTAATTCATGTTTGTGAAATTGCTGGTCGGTGATATCAAATTTGAATCGGATATTGGTTATAAGAGGATATAAACAGATATTTTAATCCCGAAGATAAAGTAAATTTCATTATTATTTGTTTCTTTTTGTCAATAGATACTTCATAATTGATATTAAATCTTAATGTGTAATTTTGAAATTGATTGGTATAATAAATTTTATGTTTGTTATTTAGATCGTGGTTATTGAATTAAAAATTACTGGACTTTTAAATTATATTGTTCTTCGATTATAAAAATTTCTACATAATGGTATTATGCTGCAAGTTATATTCAAATATTAATATTCGAGTTATATTATCGTAATTTGAATTCAACTCTAGAAATTAAATTTATTATCAAACCTTTTTTCATTGATTTTATTAAACTATTTAAATTTATTTTATTTATATTAAAAGAAATTATAACTTTTTTTTTTTTTTTAATTGCCAGCTAAGCTATGTTTATTAGTGATAATAAAGTAATATACAAAATATATTGAAATTACTAAAACTATTTTTTTTTTTTTTTGATGCCAGTTCATTCTTGCACCAGTATCAGGATCTTTATTAATTATTAAGATAGATTCTAAGAACAACCGGGATGAGTAATTACCTATACTGTCTAAGGATTTACAGATCAATGAATAGTACAAGGGGCATCTATTTACATCTTATCCAACCAGGATAGGGGAACTATGTGACCATCTAGTATAGAATTTCTCTTAATTCTTAATTAAGTCTGAGAATCTGGGAGTGTTTTAACCTACCAATTTAATGGGGTACTATTCATAATTTAAATTTCCTGTTATCGAAGTAACACTTTCTAAAACCATGGTCCATCAGATAACTTATTGCTATCCCTGTGTAGGAAGGCTAATATGTCAAGAACTTGCCTAAGATATTCAGTACCACTAGTATTAGGGGTCTCTTATATAGGATTTTTATGACTCTTGTTAGCACATATATTTTTATGGAGGGCCTGTCTTATTTGTTATCACCTGTTCTTTGTAGCAATCTATCTTTGCCTCTTTGAAAAACCTGTCTTGTATTTTTTTTAAATGTTGAAACACCTTACTATCCAACTTTGCTACTCAAATAAGGGATCGATCTTGATTAAAGATGTTGTACCACTTAGCCTTGTCTTATTTAGAACCTGTTTTGATAGTTAGCTTGTGTACTGGATTGATTTTCTGTCTTATTATGGACATGATAAGTGATCGATTTCTTGTTATAGCCATGCTAGGATACCAGATTGTTATCATAAGATAGATAAGATCTTTGTACTACTGATGATTAAATTTCACTTGGTTCTTATATGATATTGAACTTTGGACCTTGTGATTGTGACCTGGGAATATTACCATTATACTATAAATCTACAGGTTTAATTATTAAAACTATTAAAAATACTATTAAACTTTTAAAACCAAATAGTTTATCAAATCATATTTTATTACTCCAAATGAAAGAAGATTAATCTGAATTATTTTTAAATAAGTACTAGAAAATATAAAAAAAAATATCAAAGGGTTATCAGATGAATATCTAAATTTTTTCTACTATTAATTGTTTACTAAAAATCAATATTAAGAAAAAAGTTAATACTTCAGATTATTTATCAAAGTATTATATCTATTTAATTTTGAAAGAAAAAAGAAAAATCTTCTTTTGTTAATACAATATGGATAGCAAGATCCAAAGAGGATATGGAAAAGATTCTGGAAGAAGCAAGAATATTTTACAGGGCAAATGATTCACAGATTAATAGTAGCAAATCAGTATTAATTATTATTAATAATCCCAACCAATATTCAGAAGAGGTTCAAGCAGAAGTTGATAAAAAAGTAGTTAGAGAATTGAATAGAGCTAAAAAGACAAGATTTTTAGGGATTTGAATAAGTAATCAGAAATCAGCTATTGAGCTCAAAGAATGGATGCTTAAAGAAATCAATATAATTATTAAGTCCTTAAAGAACAAAAAGTTAACTGACAAACAAGTACTTTATATTCTGAATAGAGTCTTAATATCTAGAATTGAATTCAAAATACAGTATAGTGTACTATCCTGGTAAATGTATAATGTCCTGATAATGGCATATAGAAAGCTGTTCAAAAATAAGGCCACACTATGTTAATTTATACCTAATAGTGTAGTATATCATCCCAGGATTTACAATTTAAAGAGTGTTTGGATGTTACAAAAAAAAAGTCAGATAATAGAATTATGCAATAGGTTAAATGACTTAGAGCCAGCTGGAATTACAACAATTATTAGATTAAAGTAATCACTGGGAACCTCTCAACTTGTTCACATATAACTCACTAAACCATCTTTCGGGAAGAGGCAACTTCATATTACAAGTACTGAAATTGACCAAATATATGAAAATAACTTTTTATAGTTGGAAGTAGAATGATATCTATATTTGGAGTACCAGAAATAGTTCAATTAAAGATCATTTGTCAACAAATGAATACAGTAAAGCCATTCCATCACTCAAATACAATAAGCTGATATATATGGATCAGCTTATCAACTATAAAACTAGAGAAGTATTGGACTGACGAATGCTTCAACTTTTACAAAAGACAAGTAAAGATCTCATTCCAGAATGGTACTTGTCAATAACAAGAAAGATACAAAAAAACAAACTAGAACAGCTTACAAGAACTTGGAAAGAAAATTGGTTAAAATGGAGTCCAGAATATCCAGTACTCAATCTTATTCTTGATAAAAGGCAAAAACTTTGGGTGATTATCAAGAGCAATAATCAGCAGTAACAACTTGTTTGGGGAAAGTTGATTCTAAATAACAATAAAAAATGCATTAAAATAGATCATTTCAAATGTAATAGCTTCAAGGAAAACTTAGGATCAAATTTGATGTGATGTTAGAGCTGCCCAGAAGAAATCATGATGGAAAACTGATACATAGTAGAAACAAATATAGAATAAACATATATAGTTTCTTATCTTAATACTAGAAAATCTACAAAAAAAGCTCAACTTTTAAAAATTCCTTGTTTCAAGGTAGTCCTAGAGGGATCAATAAGTAGAACAATTCATATAGACTCAATAACTATACAATGTAATATAAGGCAACTGGAAGAAGTAGAGATAGAGAACTGGGAGGAAAAGCTTATTAAAGAGAATATTAAAGAAGGTGCATATCAAACCTATCTAATTGAAATATTCAAGTATAACAAGGAGAATAGTAGCAATAAATCAATAACCTTTTACTCAGATAGATCCCTTGTTGATTATGGAAAGGAAAATATGAAAATAGATGCAGCATAGATACAAATTGAAGAAGTAGAAAGAGAAAGCGAGTTCCAAGCAAGGGTAGTTGATTGACCTTCATCTACAAGAGCAGAACTAGTAGTGATAGTCACTATACTACTGTAAACCACTGCATACAATACTTTCCCTAAAGTAATACCCCCCCTTAAATAATACTCGATAGTATTCAAGAAAATTGTTACTCAATAAATGATTATTACCCGGGTATATTAAGCTAGAGCCAATAAAATTGCAGTATGAATGGGCAAGTGAGAGATACTAAATATTCCACCATTTATACTACC